TTTAATACACATTACAAAAAAATATCCCTGTTATGGTTGCTTAAATAGTTAATGGTAACAAAATGTACATTTTCCCTGGTCTTAATGACATCTTTTATGGAATCATTGTAGAAAAGTAAGATTAGGTATCTGATACATTTGAACATATTCTCTCAATTAATGTTCGACTTGTGATTAATTCTCAAAAGCAACACTAAAATGTTATGTCTAGGTCTATATATCAAGGAAGAAATGATATGAAGTAATTAAATGAATAACAAAAATTGACTCAACAAGAATTAATGGTTAGAACTGGAATAATGTAAGTTAATTTATGGGATCATGTTGGATAAGGTGAGAAACCTCCAGGAGTTAGTGATTATATAAAATAAGGAGGAAATGCTATTAGATAAGGCTTAATATCTGTAGCTGGTTTTATTGGAGAAGGAATTAAGAAAGGAGGGGAATTAATTTCTGAGAAAATCACTGATAAAGAATAAAAAGAGATATCTGAAGATACATTAAATAAAGTTAAATTAGTTAATAAAGGATCTAAAGCAATACTTTAATTTACAAAAGCTTAAGTTGATGCTTTGATTAATTTGGGAAAGATGATAGCAGAAGAAGCAGAGAAATAATTTGAGAATAGTGAAACTGGTAAGAAAATGTAAGAGCATAAATATTATGATGATGCTAAAAATGTTGGAGGAGCTGCTGTTGTTGCTGTTGTTAGCATATATGATGGATTAACAGAAGCATTAAGTGTTTTATTAGATTGTACAGGATAAGCAACTACAGAAGTAATTTAAATATTAATTAATTTAGATTATTAAAAATAAATATGGAGATTAAGCTAGTGAACTTAGTAAAGAAGGATTTTAAGTTGCAGGAAATGTTCTTGCATTTGATAAAATATATGTATAAGCAGCAGCAAAAGCAGTATTAGAATAATAATAATAATAATAATAATAATAATAATAATAATAATAATAATAATAATAACAAAAATAATGAGCATTTTAGATTATTTTTATTTATTTTAAAAATATATATCTTTTATAATATTTAGATATTTAGGTTAGATTTTTATATAAAATTTTAGATTTTCATTAATCTCTTCTACTAAATTCCCTTCTAAGCAATTTTGTATTTTTATTTTTATATTTTTCTTTATAGAGTTATTTTATTACATTATTAAAATTGTTATGAGGAAGATATTCATTAAAATTATGAATTTTATCAAATCCTTCTTATTCTGAATGATGAAAGTATCCTTGAAATTGATCTAATTATTAAAAAATTAATGTTTCTTTTATTTAAGTTTTCCTTTTCTCATTTTCTATTAAAGATGGCTTTTTCTTTGTAAATATTTAAGATTTATTGTGTTTTTCACTTTCAATTTTTTTAGGAAATAGAGACTCTCTTCTATTTTCTGGATGCATATATTTATTTTACTCTTGTTTTGAAATTGATTTGTTTGATATTTATTTTTAATCTATTACTTATTGAGACTCTTAAAGATAACTCAAAGAGTTTGAAACTTAATATGTGAGCATATTATCTGTATTAAAGGAATCTGCATAGTCTTCTTAGATATCTTTTATGGCTTATTAAATTGTATTAAAAATCAAGGTAGATTTAGTTTTCTAACCAGATCTACTTTAATAAAACCTATTATTAGTTAATGATTAATTCATCTTTAAAATTTTAATATATAAATTTGGTTAATAAGTTATAAATGGACATTCAAGTTGAATATGAGTAAATTAGCCACAAAATTGACATTTTATTTAAATAGCTGAGAATGATTTTTAATATAAAATAGTGTCCTTTATTCTATGAAATCTTTCAAAATCTTTAGAGTTTTATTTTATGATAGTTATAAATTAATCTCTATCTATTTTAAATAATTAAGTGAATCCAACACTCATAATAGATTCTTTAGTATTTTATCCTGTAAAGAATTAATATTCTCCAAATGTTTCTCCAGCCTTGAAAACCTTGATGATTTTTTAACTTTATTCTTCTACAATTTAAACTTCTCCTTCTTTAATGAAATACCTAAATGAAAATGTAATTTTACAAACATTTATCTTTATTATCATTTCTATGATAAATAAAATCATTAGGAGTAGACTTTACTTCATTTAATATATTTTTTAGTTTATTTTAAGTTGAAGTTGAGAAATTATCAGTAAACACTTTAATTTTTAAGATTGCTCTATATTAAATATCTTATTCAATTTATTTTTTTAGATTAACTGGTAAATCATTAATTATTTTAGTTGTATCCTCTTAATTTTCAAGTATATCATTTTCAATATTATATTTGATATAATTTTTTACTCTTCTTTATATTTATGAATCAACTTCATTCTTAGACATAAACTAATTCATTAAAATTAATGTTCGTCTTATAATTATAAATTAAAATTTACTTGAATTTTGTTTATTAATCATAAATAGTTTTTACAATTACTCCAATAGAATTCATTGTATAAGCAAACATGCAACTTGATAATAACATCATTATTGTTGCAAATGTCACTTCAAATTAATTTTTAGGTGTTATATCACCATAACCAACTGTTACCATTGTCATTGTTGCCCAATAAAATGAGTAATTATATCTTGCCCATAATGATTCATCAATTATATTATAATATGTCAACCATGATCCATATTATTATGTGAGATTTCCTACATGATGCCATAAACATGCCATTGTATGAGCAAAAAAACAAATTATAATTACTAAAGTGACTATATTAAGAAGATTACTATTAAATCCTTTTAAATATAATTGTTCTATTAATATATTAAATTTTCGATCTATCTTTCTAATAGTAATTACAAATTATAAAACTACCATTATCTCATTTAAGAAAAGTTGTTTATCAAAATCAAAGTACACAAAAAACCATATAGTAAAACTGATCACATCTTCTAACAGTTAAGTTTTCAAATAATTTTTCCATATTTGAGTAATTTCTAAAACAACTTCACCATTCAAAATGATTGGTCGATAAAGTGAAAACAAAATTTCCACAATTATATATATATTTATCATAATTTCTGTAGGCTTAAATGTATTCAAATGTTAACCAAAAGAAGCAATTAATGTACATAAAAATAGACTCAGAAATAAAACTAACAATGAAATTAAATCCCAAACTAATGTGAAGTTTCTATCTGGCATTAATAGGTTAATTAATTTTTGATTTTTTTATTGCAGTTTCTAATTTTACTGCCTCATATAATAAATTATATTATTACATTTCAATGACACAATTCGTTGATTTTACTTTGTCTTTTTATTCTTATAAATATCCATCATTTTCTAATATTTTTTTCATACTATATGGTAAGACATAAGAGGAAGAAAGCAAGTTATGTTTAAATTTATTTATCAAGTTCGATTTTATTATTGTTTTAATAAAATTAAATGTGTCTGATTTGTTTGTCTTTTCAATTTTATCAACTTATTAGATCTTACCTTCAAATAAATTTCTTCTACTACCCTTTATAAAATTACTTTAAGATGGCTAAAGGTTTTAATTTTTCTTAGTGAATTATTACTTTGCTTTCAAAATTTAATAATTTAAAGATGCTATGCCAACTTTTTTAAAACTTTGTTTTTCTTTTTCTTATTCATTTTCTTTTTAACTTGTTTCTGAAGTAATTGAATTTCTTGAGGATGAATTTTTTTTATACACATTCACTTCAGATTATTCTATTGAAGGTCCAAAATAACAATCTTATAATAGACCCTTCTCAGTCCTATTAGTACTCATTTCGATTAAATGAAATATAATTGATGAAATTAAATTATTATTCAAAGAGTATAAGCATTTTTTATAATAATATTTTTTTTAATTATGTAAAGGCATTAATAATCCCTATAGTTTTCAGTTTCTAGACTAAATTTTAATAATCATATGTACATTTTATAAAGTAAATGATCATTTGATAATTTTCATTGTGATTATTTAAACTATTTTAAATGAGGTTGCTTATTAAAAATATCATATAGAATTAATTTATTTTATCATAAAAATAACATTTTCAATAAAATTGTCATAAATGTATTATATATCAAAAAATAAAGAATATTAATTAAAAAGTTTATTAAGTATTTTTCATTAAATTTATTTCTTTTATTTATCTTATTTGATTAAAGCTCTTAATTCTTAGGAAGAACATTTCCAATTTTTCTAAGTGTACCTTTATACTGAATCTATTTTTTTTTTAAATGATTCCTCTTATTCCTATTTAGTAATTTATTCTTTTTGTTTATTTAATTCTTAGATTCTTTAAAGTTCTAATAAGCTATCTTAAATATCCTTAAACTAGGATTACATAGTAATTTAACTTTTAGATTGTTAAATAGCTGAATCATATTTTTGAGGTTTAATTGAGTTCAAATTTCTACACAGAATAAAATTTGAGTTTTATTTGGATTCTTATATTTCTTCCATTTATTATTCTATTTTTTGTTATTTCAATTACATTTCTTGTTTTATCTCTTTTTATAATCTCTCTCTCAAAATTATCCTTTATTATAATGCTTGTAATTTTCTTATATCAGCATGTTAATTTTTAATTGCTCTTTCAACTAAATCAGCATTATCTTAATCTACTGTTACTTATTCATTTTGCTAGTTATTTGGGGCATGATAATAATATGATATTTATGGTCTCAATTCTTCAGAATTAATCATTCTCATATAATTATGATTTGGTGGATTTATAACTTCAAAAAATGGTTTATCCATTTGTATTTCTTTAGGAATAATTTCATCTATTTTTCTCTATACAATTTAGTTGGGTCTTCCTTTTGCTTTTAATAATTTAAGAGAAAAAGGTTTAACTTAAGGAAGATCAAAAAACTAATCTCCAAACTTACCAGTTGCTTTAAGTGGAATAATTGATTATTATCCAAATTGAGCAAAACGATTCTGCATAATTTATTGAAAATATTATATATATTATTTTATTTTATTTAAAGCTAACATTCAAAAATGGGAAATTGCTCATCTTAGAAAAATCATAAGAATAATACAACAACTACTATTAAATTAGAAGAATTTATAAAAACTGTAGATCAAAACAATGTTCATGATTAAGCATTAGTTATATTATATCATAGTAGAAATTAACGTTTAAATCATTTAAATGAACCTGTATTGAGTGGTTTTAGCAAATAGTTTTCCAGAACATCAGATTAATCGCAATAAAGAAATTCTACTTGATCTTTTCTATTATTTATAATAAATTACTATTTAAATAAATATTAAGATGTATTAAATTATACTATATACTAAAATATGTTTATAATTATCAAACAAATAATTATTTTATTGATATTGATCATTAAATATATATTTTTGTATAGATTGATTGAAATATCAAACAAATTAAATTTATATTAGATTTAATTTATATGTTTTTTAATATTATTGACGATTTTCTAAAATAAGATAATATTGGTTTGCAAGAAGCCAATTTCAGTACTACAAGATATATAGCTTAATTGTTGATTTCAAAAAAGAATGTAATTTATTATCTATTATATTTTTAGATTGAATAAGTTTATTAAGAGATGTCAACCAAAGAAAATTAATGTGAAGAAATCATTACATAAATTATAGATAAGAAATATAATGAATTTAATCCAATGGTTAATAAACCTTCAATTTATGGAGTAAAATAATAATATTATGTAAGAAAGCATATGATGAATTATCATAAAATGTAAAGAAAAATAGAAAAAGATTATAAAATAGCAAAGAATTGTTAAGTTCTAAATCTGCAGAATTGAAGCATTTTTATTACTAAAATATATATTATAAGGAGATCATTTCTACTTTAAATAAATTGAAAATTATAAGGTCATCAATTAAATTGATACAAACTTAAGCATTAAGTTAACCTTATGAAGGTAGTTTGGAATGTAGAAAAATTAAGTCTTTAATAAGTAATTTCCCAAAATAAGATTCCTTTTAAATTCAATACATTAACAAAGGATTTAATTTAGGACTTTCATAGATTTTGGGTGAATTTTAAAATTAGTTAAAAGAATTTTTCTTTTTATAAAGGGGTTCTATCTTAAAAAGTACAGATGCTTAAAAGTATTATGATTTAGAGAGAAAAGTAAGAGATTTAAAATCATTAAGTGAAATCTTATAATTTATTAAGGCAAATCTTCCAGAAGTGACATTATAAAATGATGATGAATTAGAATTGTGTTTGATTGATTAATAACTTAATAGTAATGAATTGATAATATCTTATAATCAATTAAAAAAGTTTATACAAATGAGTTTTTAATTTAATGATTTTGAAACTGTAAAATAGTATGTAGATAACAATACATTAAAAACAGGAGATATAAATTTAAATATCAACAATTAATAAATTAGTTTATTAAATATATTTCTATGTATTAAAGGATGTACAATAATTAAAAAAACAAATGAATTATTAAATAAACATTTTGAAGATTTCAAATACAATTTATAAGATTTATTTACTAAATCATTAACAATATTTATTAAAAGATAAAATCCTAATGACAATATAAAAATATCATTATTTGGAGAATTAAATTTTAGTAGTTTTACAACTTATAAGATTATAAGTTAATTTTTTAAGAAACTTATAGCATATGCAATGATTATTTTAAGAAAATAAGTGTTATTTGGAAAAACATTACATAGTTTAAATGTTGATGTTGATGAAAACACTCTTCTACTATCTTTATCTGAATTATGTAGATAATTATTTTGGTAAATTAATGTAGTTTTGAGTATGTTCTATAAATCTTCTAAAATTAGTGAATAAAATAAGAGTAGAGATGTATTTGATGTCAGAAATGAGTATCATTTATTCATTCAAACAACTCTTTAATAATTAATTAAACCTAGTCCTCTATATTATTTATTATAAAGACATTTATTAGATGAAGTCTTATAATAATGTATAGAATCTTTGAAAGTGTTTATGAGAGTTGAACCCATATTCAAAGAACCAATTGATAATGAGATTTAATTATAATAGGAATTAAGTAAAAGTATCTATTTGGATTGCATTAAATAATTAAATGAAGGAGTCAAAAATGTAGTAAAAAATATTGTTTCATTACCAAAACGATAGAATAAATCTTTTATTCCTTAAATAAATTATTAATTAGTATAAGATGTTTAAGATCAATAATTAAAACAAATGCTTAGTGATTTTCAATTGATAAATCTAAAAATGCAAATTCCTGAATCAATACAATTTTGTTATTTAATACATGAACTCAATGTTATTGATTAGATCACCAATCTTTAAATAGATTTCATTTAAATATTAAATTGGATTTTGAATGTTTATCTTCAAGAAATAAGAATAAAGTTAAAAGCATTGATTTAAGGTTCCTAATCAGAGATTTTGATGTATAATTAAGATAAATAAGCATTATAAAAAAAACTATTGTCTTTTATGGAATGGAAATGCAAATTTTAATAATCAAATCCACTTTTAAATGATGGAATAAATACTCAATAAAGATTATAGAAGGCCAAAGGTGATAAGTAATTTAGATTTTAATTGAAATAACCTATATATTAAGGATATATGGAATTTCTAGTGAATTAGATTGATGAATCAAAAACAAGTCCTTTAATTAGATCAAAAGAAGTTTTACATACTTTAGGTGCATTACATGATAACATTCATGCTTTTTTAAGTTTTACCTTATAATCAATAGAAAGATATTTAGAAAAGATGTAAAGATATTAATATTGATAGTGATCAATAATATTTGATAAAATAATTGGATATCTAATAAAAAGATGTTCCAATAGAATAAAAGAATATAAAAGTACAATTATTGAAGATTTTTTAATTAAGATGTGAATAACAAAGTATTTAGATTGAGTAATTTAAAAATAAGAGTGCAATAGAGTAAATAATTTTAAATATAAAATAGTATTACATTTAATGACAATGTATAATAATCTTTTTATCGATTCTTAAAATTATGTAATGATATATTTTTGGTGTAATTTGATGTTTATCTGGTTTTGAGATTTGAATTTCATATGAGACATTTATTGATGACTAATATTTAGGAATTCAATTTTGAATACATTAACTTTTCTTAAACTCTTAAGGAAAGTCTATAAGATGATACAGTAATTTTTGATTTTCATTATTATTAGTTCAATATTATTACATCAGATTTTTGGACAATCTTTAAGGCAAGTTTAAAGGCTTAATTCATAAGATAAAAGGATTTTAATCCTAAGAAAATCTAAATGATTTTAAAGGATCTTAATGTAATGAAAGATGAAATGAATAATCAAGGAAAAAGGATTTCACATTTACGAAGATACTTCAAATTGTATTTGGTAAATGGATAGGATATTGAAAAATTCCTAAAAATAAATGCTTATAAATACAAATTTGAATTAATATAGGAATATGGTAAATTAATGAAAGTAGAGAATTTAGAATAATTAAGAAAATATTGTTTATGAGCAAAAGTATTATCTATTATGATTTTATTATAAATAGTATATGGATCTGTTATACCGTTTTTATTTAATAATTATATTATTTACAAAATGAATAGATTGATAGTGTTATCACTGATATGTCTAATTAGTATCAGAGGATTTGAAATTGATTTTTCATTACTCTTACAAGTATGAATTATTGTAATAATTAATCAAAAGACAGGATCTGAATCAAATGATGCAGTTTAAGCTGTTTATGATTTATTAAATGATTTAAAGACAAGCAATATAGAAGCATAAGGAGTAGCAGATGAGAAGAACATTTCAGATGAAGAAATAGGATAAGCTAGAATAGCTGCTTTATCAAAAGTTAATGAATTAAATCAAAAGGCATGGGCAAGTGCTAAGGCTAGAAGAGAATAAATAGGAATTGAATACAGAGTAAAAATTAGAGTAATATATAGGAAGCTACAGATTATATTGCCTGGGCTACATAAAGATTAGCTGATATTGATAGAAGATCTGTTGAATTATAAGAGTTAAGATGTTTTTCTAATGGTTTATTTGTGAGAGCAATTAAATAACATAATGATGCTTTAGGAGTTATTAGAATTTTAAAGAATGATTTAAGTGGATATTTAACAGGACAACCATCTTCATTAGTTGAAGTTAATGTATAAAATGTATCAGACAAATTGAAATAATACAGTCAATTATTTAATCAAGATGCAATGACAAAATTTGCATAATTAGCAGCTGAATAGGCATCAGGAAATGCAGAATTACATGCACTTGGTTAAGATGAAGGATCATCAACTGATAGATAACCAGGACATAATATTGGTTAATTGGTTTATAATGCTCTTTCAGATCTTGAGGATTAATTGAAAGGATCATTAGCCAATTTAGAGGCCAATGAAATAGCTGCATATTATCAATTAGCCGATTGGTTAGCAGATTCAGAATCTGAAGTAGCTCATCTAAATGATGAAATTTAGAGAAAGACTTAATTATAAGATAAATTGGTTGTGGTATGTTAGATTTTTAATAATTGTAAAGTAAGAATAAGCTGCCCTTGCTGTATAAGCCAAAGCTAACAGTGTATTAAAGGATTCTCAAAATGCTATTAATGCAGCTACAGCATCTTTGTAAGAATTGAGAGAATTATATGAGACTGAGTTGAATAGAAGAAATGGTAAGTATATCAAGATTATTTTATAGAGGAGAATGCTATAATAGATGAAGTTATTCATATTTTCAAATAATAAGTATTGGAAATGGCTAATTAAACTTCTTTTGGAAAGAAATGAATAAAATAAATATTATAAATTAATATTAAAAAATAAGAGAAAAATATTAAAAGACATTTTACATAATCATTGCATTAATTTGGGTTAATTGCAAACTGAATCAATGGCCAGTTTAGTANAGTATCAGAGGATTTGAAATTGATTTTTCATTACTCTTACAAGTATGAATTATTGTAATAATTAATCAAAAGACAGGATCTGAATCAAATGATGCAGTTTAAGCTGTTTATGATTTATTAAATGATTTAAAGACAAGCAATATAGAAGCATAAGGAGTAGCAGATGAGAAGAACATTTCAGATGAAGAAATAGGATAAGCTAGAATAGCTGCTTTATCAAAAGTTAATGAATTAAATCAAAAGGCATGGGCAAGTGCTAAGGCTAGAAGAGAATAAATAGGAATTGAATACAGAGTAAAAATTAGAGTAATATATAGGAAGCTACAGATTATATTGCCTGGGCTACATAAAGATTAGCTGATATTGATAGAAGATCTGTTGAATTATAAGAGTTAAGATGTTTTTCTAATGGTTTATTTGTGAGAGCAATTAAATAACATAATGATGCTTTAGGAGTTATTAGAATTTTAAAGAATGATTTAAGTGGATATTTAACAGGACAACCATCTTCATTAGTTGAAGTTAATGTATAAAATGTATCAGACAAATTGAAATAATACAGTCAATTATTTAATCAAGATGCAATGACAAAATTTGCATAATTAGCAGCTGAATAGGCATCAGGAAATGCAGAATTACATGCACTTGGTTAAGATGAAGGATCATCAACTGATAGATAACCAGGACATAATATTGGTTAATTGGTTTATAATGCTCTTTCAGATCTTGAGGATTAATTGAAAGGATCATTAGCCAATTTAGAGGCCAATGAAATAGCTGCATATTATCAATTAGCCGATTGGTTAGCAGATTCAGAATCTGAAGTAGCTCATCTAAATGATGAAATTTAGAGAAAGACTTAATTATAAGATAAATTGGTTGTGGTATGTTAGATTTTTAATAATTGTAAAGTAAGAATAAGCTGCCCTTGCTGTATAAGCCAAAGCTAACAGTGTATTAAAGGATTCTCAAAATGCTATTAATGCAGCTACAGCATCTTTGTAAGAATTGAGAGAATTATATGAGACTGAGTTGAATAGAAGAAATGGTAAGTATATCAAGATTATTTTATAGAGGAGAATGCTATAATAGATGAAGTTATTCATATTTTCAAATAATAAGTATTGGAAATGGCTAATTAAACTTCTTTTGGAAAGAAATGAATAAAATAAATATTATAAATTAATATTAAAAAATAAGAGAAAAATATTAAAAGACATTTTACATAATCATTGCATTAATTTGGGTTAATTGCAAACTGAATCAATGGCCAGTTTAGTATAATAAAATTATTTTATTATATGCCTAAACATAATCCTATATACACACCAAGGGTATAGATAAATATTAACATTAGTTTGATGAAGTATTGACTGAATTAGTTGGTACACTTGGAGAAGCAAAATGGGCTGAGATTACTAGATAAATGAAAACAATTTATGGTTTATCTATTCCTCATAAACCTATGGTATAAGCAAGATGGAGAGCAATAGATCCAAAAATTAATAGACAAATATTTTCAGCAGAAGAAACAGTTACTCATTGGCATATTTGTGTAAAATATAAATGTCATTGGGATGCAGTAAAGGCTGAATATGAAGCAATAGGTTAAATTAGAGATAAATGTTTTTTGAGTTAAAAATTCTATGCTCATTTTTAATTTAAATTAGTTGATTTAAATAGAATGATGGGTAAAATGGTTGCTTATAATCAACCTAAGATTGAAAATATGAGAGATACTACAAAAAAAAGAATATTAGAAATAAATGCAAGAGAACCATAAAGTGTTAAAGATTAATCTGCAAGAGAAATAATATAAAGTTGTTAAATGCTTATTAAATTATTAACTTATGTTGTAGATAATCATAAAGAAGATTATAAAGTAATAACAGAAGAATTAAAAAAGATGATAACACCAGAAAAGTTTGCTAGAGTTTTATAAAATATATTTATTATTGATTTAATTGTATTAATAGCTTGTAATGAATTAAAACCATCTGATGAAACTCCAGATTTTATTAAAATGGATGAAAGAAAAAAAATAAAATATAAAAAACCAACTAAAGTTAAAAGATGGGATGAAGCACTATTATTAAGTTCAAGTCCAGAAAATACAGAAGATGAAGATGTATTAAGAACAGAATAAGAGATTAATAAAGTTACAGGTGGAACTAATTTTACAAAAGCTGATATTGAAGAAATTAAATAAAGTCCAATATATTGTGTATGTAATACAGATTAAAATTAAACATTTTATGATTGGTATAATGAAGCTAAAATTTAAAAAGCAACTTTAAAAACAGATTTATTAGTTGATGTAATGGATATCATGAATAATAATAAAGATAAATAGAAATCTGAAAAAACAAAACCTGTTTAAAAAAGAACAGCTTTATTAGCAAAGAAATAAATGAAATTAATAGAAAAAAAGAAAAATGAACTTATGAAATAAGATAAAGATGATAAAATTAAAACTGTAAGAGGAAAAATAAAAATTGATAAAGAAGTATTTCCAGGTTGTTATACTAAATTCTTTGATAAAGAGGATGAAGATGATTATGAAGATAGTTAAGATAATCCAATATATTCAGCTATTGATGCAGATCAAATTTATTAAATTATAATGTAGCAGAAATAAGCTCAAGATAACTGAAAGATTTTTTATATAATTATTATTCATTATAGTAAAGATTTATTATTATAATATAATTATTATTAGATGATGTCACACAAAAATTTATATTCTAAGATTTAAAATAATATGAAAAGTAAGATAATCGCTTATTTTGTCTTAATTTCTCTTGCTATGTCTTAAATGACTCTTGTACGTGAAGATCAAATGAATTTTTCTGTTTCTGATAGTAATTGGAATTATGGTACAACATGTGATTGGATCTAAAGCACAACAATAATATCACAAATTAGTGGTTGTGCTACAAATAGTTTTTAATACTCTTATGTGGGATCAACTAATCGTAGATCAATGTATACCATTGGAAATTTACCTCCTCATTTTTAAGTTAAAATCGTAATGGATGCATATTTTATTGATTCAGGAAATGGTATAAGTACAATAGCATATGATTGCAATCCTTCCACAACAACTACAAAATCAATTTCATATAAAGACAATGGTGCTGGAGGGAACAACATCAAAAACTACTAAAATGTTTGCAATACAGGTTGGGGAAATTTTCAGATTTAGACCTAAATTCTAACATTTGTGCACAATGATAATGATTCATTATAATTCAGAGTTTGTGCAACATTAAATGCTGGAAAAACTTTTGGAATGAGAAGTTTATAAATATATGTTGATCGTTGTCATTGGTCTTGTCTAAAATGTGAAACAAGTTCTGCCATTAATAAATGCAAAGTCTGTTTTAATAATCCGACAGTGACTTTGGCAACAGCTGGTACTTGTACATAATGTCCCACAAATTACCTTTATATAGAATATCTGAATAGCTCAAAAGGATGTTTTACTGAATGTCAATATTATAGAGTACCAGATTCAAATAATGTATGTTAATTCAATGAGAGTAAGAAGATCTTTATTTATTATAGATATGTTACCATTTACAACCTACTTAGATACAACTACATTTACTACAGCATCTCCTTGGGTTTTTATTCCTGATCCTATCAATTTTAATATTGTCAATGTTGAAAGAATATCTTAAATTCCTTGTGATGTAACCAGAAATTATTTAGGCCCCTTTTATTCAAATGAGGGATATAAATTATAACTATCATTACCTTATAATATCACTTATATTAGATTTCGTGTAACACTTCTGAAATTTGGAACTTGGGTAGATTATTCAACCATAAGAATACTTTTAGATACTGATGAATAAGCTTCAATCTATACTATTAGCAATGCCATTTTGAATAGAAATGCATAAATGTTATTAACAGAAACAAATTGCACAAGTCCTACAGTTACTTATTATAGATTGGAAGCAAAATTAAGAAGTAGTGCCATATCTCCAGTACTAATAATATAGGGTAATATGGAGTATGATATTTAATTTATTTAGTAATATTGGTGCTTAATCTTGGGGATTTAGAAATGTCGTTTTAGATATAATGAAATGTTAATCATCATGTTCGTGGTGTGATTATGATTTAAAATGCTATGCTTGTTCTGCTGGATTTTTGTATAAGAATAGATGTGTACCTTCATGTCCTCCTTATTCAATTGAAAGCCCTGGAGAATGTACAGATTATGATGATCCTATCCCAAGTTATAATTCTATTTAATTTAGATACTAAATATCTAATTAAGGCTTTTTATGATTCTACTAATACCACAGATACAGATATACCTGCAATTGTAGGAACTTCATCATCAGATTCAACTGATTTTTCTACCACCGATACATTCTCTGGAACGGCAGGGTCCAAAATATATTTTAGTTATTATTTAGGCAAAAGAGTTTTGGGAGGCCCTTTAGTTTGGAACAAAGCCATCTTTACATAGAATTTTGTACTGAATCCTCACTATAAATTCAGAATCAGATTTACTCTAGTTTTGGGAGATGATTTTGTTACATAAGGAGATTTTCGTTATACTGTTGGAGGATATCCTGAAACTACAATTACTTATGCATAAGGAACAACTACTTTAAATAATGTTGGTGCTTCAACTAGTGATAAATAAATATAAGTAGATAGAACAGAAGATCACTTTACTAATAGTTTTTAAATAATTTTAAAATGCAATACACATTCATCTCAAGCTATTAACTAAGCCTTCTGCTTAATATATGATTATTATATTCTTATCTATGAAGTAATATCAAATAATAATTATAGTGTACTCAATATTGTACTGCATGTACTGGTCCTACATGGTTAGAATGCACTGGCTAATCTGCATTACCAACAGGAATGCTTACACCATCATCTTGTGTAGACTCTACTTATTATCTAGATAATTCAGTTACTCCTGCTGTATGCAGAAAATGCTCACCTACATATTGTTTAGAATGTACAAATCAATATATATGCACTAAATGTGCAACCAATTTTTATTTATCAAATGGTGTTTGTTTATGTTATTCATGGACTTATTTAACAACATCTAACACTTGTGCTAATTGTCATGATTAATGTTCTAGTTGTTATGGTCCATCAAAAAATGAATGTTTATCATGTAAGGATTCTCAACATAGATTTATTAATAATAATGTATGTCAATGTAAAAATAACTATTATGATGATGGGATAAATAATAAATGTTAATCTGTATGTGGTGATATGGTTGTAACTGATGGTGAAGATTGTGATGATGGTAATACAACAAGATTTGATGGATGCAATAATTGTAAATATGAGTGTTAAAAGGAATGTTCAATTTGTGTAAATGGAGGATGTTCAGTATGTTCTACTGGATATGTCTTGAATTCAGCTATGAAATGGTGTATTCCTTTATGTGGAGATAATATAATAACAGGTTCTGAATAATGTGACAATACTTACAATTATCCAATCAGATATTGCTATAATTGTTAATTACAATGTTAAACTCAATGTTTAGATTGTTAATAAGGATTGTGTTATGATTGTGATACTACTTTAGGATATTATGTGAATTTGAGTAATTTAAGATGTGAAACTTAATGTGGAGATGGAATTTAAACAGGAGTTGAAGAATGTGATGATGGCAATATTACTCCTTATGATGGATGTTATAATTGTTAATTCTAATGCGATTAATTTTGTAATATTTGTTTGTTTTCTACCTGTATTAAATGTTAAACAGGTTATCAATTATATAGTAAAACTAATCAATGTATACCAATATGTGGAGACAAATATGTAACATTTTTTGAATCTTGTGATGATGGTAATTTGATTAAAACTGATGGTTGTAATTAGTGTTAATTCTAATGTTAGGATGAATGCACAAATTGTGTATTAGGTTAATGTTATGAATGTAATACACCAGGTTTTATATTAAATTAAAAATTATTAAAATGTGTTCCTATATGTGGAGATGGAATAATAACATAATTTTAAGAATAATGTGATGATCTAAATTCTGTATTTGAAGATGGTTGTTATCAATGTAGATATGAATGTTAGATTGAATGTGCAGTTTGTGCTACAGGGATATGTTATTCATGTTAAACAAATTATTATTTAGATTCAAATAATTATTGTGTTCCTCTTTGTGGAAATGGAATTGTTACAAAAAATGAATAATGTGATGACAATAATACACTTGCAGATGATGGATGTGATTCATGTATTTTCAAATGTGATATAAATTGTGATTAATGTATCTTTGGAGTTTGCAAAAAATGTATAACTGGTTACAATTTAAATTATAATTAAAAAAAATGTACTTCAATATGTGGAGATGGAATCATCACAAAAGATGAATAATGTGATAATATCTAAACTGAAGAATTTGATACTGAATTAGAATGTATAAACTGTTAATTATAATGTCAATAAGAATGTGAATTTTGTGTATTAGGATAGTGTTAGAGATGTAAAGAATCTAACGGATATTATTTAGATTCAGAAACTGGGATATGTGTTAGTATTTGTGGGGATGCTATTGTAAGTTAAAATGAATAATGTGAAGATTAGAACTCATAATTATTTGATGGTTGTCAATAGTGTTTATAAGTTTGTGATGAAGAATGTATTGATTGCAGATTTGGAATTTGCTTCAGTTGTAATAATGGTTATTAATTAATCAACTAAAAATGTATCTCAATATGTGGAGATGGAATTGTGACCAAAGATGAAGAATGTGATAATGGTGTAGATAGATTTAAAATGGATGGATGTATCAATTGTAAATTTGAATGTTATGAGGGTTGTAATTAATGTGTTAAAGGACAGTGTTTAGAATGTAAAAATGATAAGGGATGGTATATGAATTAACTAGATTAATAATGTAATTCAGAATGTGGAGATCTAATTGTAACTAATTTGGAAATGTGTGATGAGAATTCAAATTTATGTGATTCATGTTTATTAGTTTGTGATGAAAATTGTATATAATGTACATTAGGTAAATGTTAAAAATGTTAAAATGGATATTATCTTGATTAGAATATATGTACCAGTTAGTGTGGAGATCTAATTTAAACTAAAAATGAATAATGTGATACTGATGATCTTATTCCATTTGATGGTTGTTATTTATGTGAATACTAATGTTAAAATTAATGTATCACTTGCTTTAATGGAGGATGTATAGAATGTGATGAGATAAATGGTTGGTATTTAGAGAATGAATAATGTAAAACTATATGTGGAGATGGAATCAAAACTGGCAATGAAGAATGTGATATAGATATAAATATAGATTAAGGGAACATATCATTAAATAAATGTTTTGATTGCAAGATACTTTGTGTAGAATATTGCAAACTTTGTGATAAAGGTAAATGTACTTAATGTATTGATGGTTATGAATTAAATGATTAGAATGAATGCATTTAATTATGTGATAATTAATAATCACATTTAAAATAATGTGATGATGATAATTTAGATCCTTTTGATGGATGTTTTTAATGTAATTATGAATGTGAGGATTTATGTTAAAGTTGTGTTAAAGGAGTTTGTTTATCTTGTAAAACTGGCTATAAAATTAATAAAAATGGATAATGTGAATCAGTATGTGGAGATGGTTAAATAACTGAGGTAGAATTTTGTGATGATGCTAATAACATTGAATTTGATGGATGTTATTAATGTAAATATTCATGTCCTTAATATTGTCAGACTTGTGAGAAAGGACAATGCAAGGTTTGTGAAAAAGGATACCATCTAGAATATTTAAATTGTATTACTGATTGTACAGACTTAATTCTTTAATAAAGTGAACCAAAATGTCAAATTTTATAATGTTAAAATGAATGTGAAGTTTGTGTAAATGGATAGTGTTATAAATGTAAGTAAGGATGGTATTGGAATAAAATGAAATTAAATTGTGAAAGTTTATGTGGTGATAATTAAATAATTGGTGAAGAATAATGTGATTATACATCTAAATTAGGTTAAATTAATCCTAAATGTAATAATTGTTGTAAATTTGAATGTCCTGATGATTGTTTATAGTGTGAATTTGGAGTTTGTAAGAAATGTTAAGTAGGATACTTTCTAAGAGGTAACATATGTTATAGTTAATGTGGAGATTTGCTGATTAATAAAAATGAATAATGTGAAGATAATAATTTATCACCCTTTGATGGATGTTATTAATGTTCTTTAGATTGTTAGGTTTAATGTCAAATATGTATTTAAGGAACATGTGAAAAATGTTAGATTGGTTATGAATTAATAGAAAATAATTGTTTACCAATATGTGGAGATGGAATAGTGACTTAAGATGAGTATTGTGATGATAAATTTGATAGTTCATTGAGTTGTGAATAATGTAAATTTTCATGTGATAAAAATTGTTAATTTTGTTAATATGGAAGATGTATATTTTGTAAAAAAGGATTTGAATTAAAGAATAACTATTGTTAACCTATTTGTGGAGATGGGTTGATTTCTGGTTACGAATAATGTGATGATGAAAACTTTTTAGCAGAAGATGGATGTTTTGAATGTAGATATTCATGTTAACATTAATGTTTAAATTGTTATAATGGATATTGTTTGGAATGTGATGTAGATAATGGTTGGTAACTTACTCCATAAGGATAATGTATATCAGTTTGTGGAGATTTAAAAGTAACAGGCAATGAATAATGTGATGATGGTAATGAAATTAATTTTGATGGATGTTTTAATTGTTCATATATTTGTTAAGTAGCATGTACAAAGTGTTTATCAGGATCTTGTTATGAATGTAATACACCTGGTTGGAGATTGGAGAATTTTTTCTGTTGGGAAATCTGTGGAGATGGATTACAAGTTGGAATAGAAGAATGTGATGATGGTAATGATATACCTTATGATGGATGTTTTGAATGCAAATCTTAATGTGAAGAAGCATGTGTTTTATGTGAAGCTGGAAAATGTTTAGACTGTGCTTTTGGTTGGAAATTAAATGCCTAAAATAGATGTGAAACATATTGTGGAGATGGTTATGTTATCCCTTAATATGAAGATTGTGATGATGGTAACCTCATACCTTATGATGGTTGTTATGAATGCAATTATTAATGTGTATAATTTTGTACAAACTGTCAAAAAGGCATTTGTTATGAATGTAATGTTCCTGGATGGTAGATTTTAGAATTTTAATGTATTCCAATTTGTGGAGATGGAGTCATCAATGGTAATGAACAATGTGATGATGGTAATTTAATTGAAGCAGATGGATGCAATAATAAATGTGAATTTTAATGTCATGCAGCTTGTTTGTTATGTGAAAAGGGTATTTGTTTGGAATGTGATGCATATTAAGGATTTTCTGAATATTTAAATTAATGTGCTTCTAAATGTGGTGATGGATTATGGGAACCATTAACAGAATAATGTGATGATGCTAATAATATTGATTTTGATGGATGTTCTAAAGATTGTAAAATAGAAATAGATTGGTTTTGTTAAAATCTTTAATTACTTGTTAGTAATTGTTTTTATGAGAAATAGCCTACTATTTAACTAGATCTTATTGATTAATAAGATAATATATCAACTATTTAAATTTCATTTTCTACTAAAATGATGCTTAGTACTAATAATGAATCTTCTAAAATATTCTTGGAAAATTAAATTGAAGATGAAATTATTAATACTAAAAACATCAATGTCAATTTAATTGATTTAAAAATAGAAGATCTAAGTGAAAATTACTATTCATATACTATTAATTCAATTACACCTATAAATTATGAACCAACTCTTGCTATTTATCTTGCCTAAATTGAACTCAAAACTACTATTCCATCTGATAAAATTAATGTAATATTTATAGTCAATAATAAAATTATTGTTTCTGAAAACAAAACAAAATTAATTAAAAATGTAGAATCAATTTAAATACCTACATAAATTTATATCAGCTAATCTACTGAAAAAGTTATAAAAACATTCACAGAATTTTAAACTTTTTAATCATATTCATTTTTGACTATATCATTAATTAGTGTATTTACAAGTGGTTATTCAAATTTCTATATGGCATGTGATACTTTATAGTATCTCTACTATTCCAGATATATTAACTTACCTTTCCCTGATAATTTATAATAATATCTGAATAGTCTTAAAGAATCCCAACTATCTAATATTGCAACTAAAAAATTGGGTATATCTGTAATGAAATTTGATGATAATTAAAACACTAATACAGAGAATGATTAAATGCCTCAAAGTTTTTCAAAGGATTATCTAACTTATGATTTTTTAAATAATGCATCCACTAGTTTAACAATCTTTTCAATTAGTTTTGCTGTCTATTATTCATCACTCATCATTTCTAAGATATTACATCACATTACTCCATCTACTCTTAATAGTTTAGGCTCTATTGTAGGAGGGTCAATCCTTACTGTTAGATAGAAATGTACAAAATTTGTTAATAATTTTGCATTTTCTGGAATCATCAGAGTATTAACAATTAATTTTTACGAACTTGCATTTTCATCATTACTCCAATTATCTCACATTAATTTTAATGATACTAAAAGTATAATGAATAATATAGGAGCTATTGTTACATTACTATCCTAGTTTGCATTTATTGGTGTTCTATTTCATAAAATTCAATAGATTTAAACTAAAAAAACAACTGATTTCAAATCTTCGATAAAAACGTTATTTTAATAACAAGAGGGGTTACAACATCAAAAAATGTGGGTTATGCAATATAATACAGTATTATTAGTAAAAAAAATGTTCTATATTTATGTAATTGTAGGTATGTAATAATCAGGTCTTTATCAAACAATTGCTGTTGCTTTATAAGCATCAGTTTTTTGTTCATACTTACTAGTATAATAGCCTTTTTCTAAAATTGATGATTTAAGAAAAGCTTTAGTTACAGAATCTGGTATGTTTTTAAATAGTTTATCCTTTATTCTTTATTCAGTTTACTAATAATTTTAATTTAATCAAGAAACATTATTTTATTTAGGATGGATAAATATAGGAACATACACTATTATTGTAAGTTCTAATACATTGATAGATTGTTATGCTTAATTTAAAATAGTTTATTCAAAGATTAAGAAGGCATTCAATAATTTTATATAATCATAACTACCCTCATAATCAAGAATTTAGCCCATCTTTATATGATTTTTGCTCTAATTTTTATTTTTATATTATTTACTTAAGTTTTATATATCAAAATATAATAATAGATTTTATACAAATATTACAATCACAAGTACATAATGAAATTTCTTCATAATGAAAATTCAAATGAGAGATTAGTTAAACCATTATTTATTTTAATTTTGATATTACACTCTCTCCATGCATTCCATAATAAAAACTTAGTTAAATAAATTGTAATTATTTAAGCTTTCTTTTAATTTTCAATGGATTTCTCATCAATAGTTTTTTTCAAATTTTATAAAACGATTTTATAATTTTATTCAGAATTTAGACAAAAATTTAAATTTTATTTAAGAATTTTAGAATTAGATAGAGTATCTATCATAAATCCTTCTAAAGTTACTTTTAATCTATCTTAATTCAATTCATTTCTCTTTTTTATTGTAATTTTTTATAATTTATCAAAAAGTTAAGCAAAACTTATTAAGATGCTAAAAAAGTAAATTTAATTAGTAATAAATCCTGATAATGAGTTATTGAAATTAAATTCAATTTTCTTTTGTAATAATAAATTCATTTAATTTTATATTTAATTAATTTGAATCCAACCTTTTCTATTTCTTATATCTTAATAATTGAAAAATAATCTAATTTATTAGATGTTTATAATCAATAGAATAATTTAAAGTCTAGTTTTGATAGTTTTTAACTATGTAGTCAATTATTATAAAATGAATAAGATGAATGTTTCTTTATACTTAATTACTTATTAGAAATCACGAATTTAATTCTTTTAATTCTATTCAAAAATCAAAATTACACAATCTTCCTCTTACATAATTGATTGAATTAATTTAACTTTTAATTCTTTATTTTGTTATTATGATCTTACTTCTAATTAATATTATGTTAATTTCTATTTCTAATTTTTAATAATATCTCTTATTTCCTCTTCCAAATTACATTTTTTAGCTTCAATATTTCTATTCTTTTCTTATATTATAAGCATCTTTAAAATTATATAAAATTTAATACATCTCTTAAGACTATTCTCAACTCTTTATTATTTGTTATTTTCAATCTCTATTTAGATAAATCATTAATTGAAGATAATATTAATTGATCTTATTTCTCATCAAATTTAATTACTAATACTGATTACTCTAGAATTTAATCAATTATTTTTATCCAATTGTTTTGTTCCCTACTATTTCTGAATTACATACGCCTTGTTTTTTCATTTGTATATTTCATCATTATTAATCCAATGAAAACCAAAAATATTGTTAAACACATAGCATAATATTCTAAAGTTTACGAAGGATAATATGTCACATACTAAAAATAGATAATCAATAAAGCAACTCCTTAAGGCCATATCTAATATCCTAATTACATAATCGCTACGATTATATTACCATTTACCAAAATGAAAATAAAATGCTTACATTCCATAATACCAATTGTAGTCATAAGTAAATGAATAGTAAGAAGAGTCATCTGTTACTTCAATTGGAAAAAAGTTATCAAGATTCCAAATGTAAGCAAAATAAATTTGTAGAAGTGGTAAAATATATTTATTACAACTAGGATACTTATCAATTATGCATTTCAATAAGAGTATTAAAACCATAAAGACTAGAATATTTGTTACAACAATCAAATTAAAGGTGTTTTCTTAAAAGTAATATAAAATGTAGGCCACAAAAAATAACTAAATAAGTTCTTATTATACAATTGTCTATATTGAAAATAGAGTAAATTCTGATTTTAAATGGACATGCTATTCTTATCTATATTCATTTTCTATTTAATTCGATTTAAATTTGAGAGTGAATCTAGAAATCATAATAGTATTTATTTAATTTATAAGTCTCACATTTAATTTATTTCAAAATCTCATTACTTTTTTGAAATATATGATTAAATTTGAAATCATTCATAATATAGACAATATAAATATATATTTAAAGTAATAGATAACAATTTATGTATATAATTAAATTAATTATAGATTTTAATGTTCTATGTAAAGATTATAATAAATATATATAGATAGTTTTTTTTAATTAAATTGAATAGAAAGTCTTAGATTGATATCAATATATTTAATTAATTTAGTATTATACTTGATTATCAAAAACAAAGTACTTTATTTAGATTAAAAAGATTGAGGAAATATTGAGTTGCTACATCATATTCTGGATATAATATGATTTCTATTTGTTATTACTAATATTTAGCATTCTATTTTTGTTCCCCTTAAATGTACATTCCTTTAATATATAGTTCTAGAGTACAAAAGTGATTTTAAATTAATTATATTCTTTTTTCAACATCAAAATCATAATATTATGATATTGATTAATTATTCAATGTAGCCAATAATATTAAACTACTTTCAGCACTTGATAATAAGTGTAACTTTTTCATAAAATTATCAAATAAGGTATGTAAATCAGATTAAATATTTTTATAAATCTCATCTAAAGTTAATACAATATTTTTATATTATTAAATGCTATTCTCTTTTAAAGTTTAATCTGTAATATTATAATATGAACAAAGCCAAAATTATTAAGTATTTAAGGGTTAATAAGATGTTTTGATTCCATTAATGTAGTTATATACAGATTTAATTTTCACTCTCCCTATTGCCTCTACAAGTACTTAGTATCCTTTATTAATTTTTTTTATATTTTTAATTTTAACTAAATCTCCATAGATAAAATCTCTTGAAACAATAAAATTACATGACCCAGAACAAACTCTTCTTATCATCTCCTAATATCTAAGTTCAAAAAATGTGAACTAAGTTTCCATATGAATTATGACTGTTTATTCAAAATTAAAGATAGGTAATCCATTAACATAATCTGATTATATGATTTCTTCATTTTATTATACTTCTTCAATCTAAAATTACTTCAAATACCAATTGATAAGATCTTTATATTTCTAATTTATGCTAACTTTTAGCACAAAACTAAACTCTGAGCATACTGGGCAAAGTAATTCTTCTTGAAGACTCTCTTAAATACATTTCTAACAAAACATATGTTAACAAGGTAGAACAATTGGATTTATAGGTGTCAACCCACAACAAAGACAGATAATTAATGAAGGAAATTCATTTAAAAGTCCTGAAATTATAGAAATCTATTACCTTCTGTTCCATCTTTTTCATATATCTATTACACGATAGATAACAATTCATCAGATTTATACTATGAGATCAACATAGACTAACGACACAAGGGACAAGCACTTTACTCTTGTTTGTCTAATGTATTATTAATACAATTGAGACAAAAAGTGTGCCCACAATTTAGAGACATAGGATTGCATAAACTTTATAAGCATATAGAACATTGCAGTATGAATTTCATTAATAAAAATATCAAATAAATTCTTGAATAATCAAGTATTTTTTATTAGAATTTTTAAGAATTCAAATAATCAATTATCAAAATCTTTTGAATCATTTTTTGAGATTTGAATTTCAGATCATGATTAATCAATGTATTTTTATTATATTCTTGTCATTTTTTCTAATTTTATTAAATTAATTACTTTAATTCAAATCAGATTATCCCACAAGTAATTTAAGAAAATATAGATATAAAAAAGTTTTAGTTGCCTTAAATTTAATTATACTAAAGATGAGATTATATAAAACTCATATTAACTAAAGAAAGATTATGTATTAAATGATGACATTTTAACTTGAATTAGTTTTCTATTTTTTTATTTAAACTATTATGTAACATATTTTAGAAAACAATATTTTTGAGGGTGATTCTGAAAATCTAATAATGTAAATCTAAATATGAAAATATATTTAATTCATATGAGTTTCAGATTATCTTATCTTTTTATAAGGATTTATTATAATTAAGTGCATTTATAAATTATATTAATTATATTTTATAATTCTTAATTTTAGAAATTTTTTTCTATAATTTATTTATCAATATCCTTATAAACTTCTATTACAAATTTTATAAATTATCATTTTAACAATAATTCATTATTTTATATTCAATATTATTCATCAAATTATTCATTAAAAAAAATCAATTAAATTACTCTGAATGTTAAAGGACTTAATACTTTTATTCTAAGTTTATTTATATTTATATATATTCTCTTGAATAATTTATTTACTTTTAGGAAATCTTTTCTAGATTGATTTTCTTCAAATATGATTTTACTTGTTTTTCTAGTAAATTTTATTGAATTGCCAGAATTGTTTCATATCGAATTAAAGTTTTGTTGCGTAGGGTTTCTTAATAATACTTTAATACAGATCATTAATATTATCTATATAAATTTCTTAATTAATAAGATTGTCATCTGAATTAGTAATATGAAAAATATAGGCAGAAATATAATGATATAAATAAAGTTAAGACTGAATTTGATATCTATATAGTCATTTATTTGTACATTGAAATTATAATTTTAATAGANCGACACAAGGGACAAGCACTTTACTCTTGTTTGTCTAATGTATTATTAATACAATTGAGACAAAAAGTGTGCCCACAATTTAGAGACATAGGATTGCATAAACTTTATAAGCATATAGAACATTGCAGTATGAATTTCATTAATAAAAATATCAAATAAATTCTTGAATAATCAAGTATTTTTTATTAGAATTTTTAAGAATTCAAATAATCAATTATCAAAATCTTTTGAATCATTTTTTGAGATTTGAATTTCAGATCATGATTAATCAATGTATTTTTATTATATTCTTGTCATTTTTTCTAATTTTATTAAATTAATTACTTTAATTCAAATCAGATTATCCCACAAGTAATTTAAGAAAATATAGATATAAAAAAGTTTTAGTTGCCTTAAATTTAATTATACTAAAGATGAGATTATATAAAACTCATATTAACTAAAGAAAGATTATGTATTAAATGATGACATTTTAACTTGAATTAGTTTTCTATTTTTTTATTTAAACTATTATGTAACATATTTTAGAAAACAATATTTTTGAGGGTGATTCTGAAAATCTAATAATGTAAATCTAAATATGAAAATATATTTAATTCATATGAGTTTCAGATTATCTTATCTTTTTATAAGGATTTATTATAATTAAGTGCATTTATAAATTATATTAATTATATTTTATAATTCTTAATTTTAGAAATTTTTTTCTATAATTTATTTATCAATATCCTTATAAACTTCTATTACAAATTTTATAAATTATCATTTTAACAATAATTCATTATTTTATATTCAATATTATTCATCAAATTATTCATTAAAAAAAATCAATTAAATTACTCTGAATGTTAAAGGACTTAATACTTTTATTCTAAGTTTATTTATATTTATATATATTCTCTTGAATAATTTATTTACTTTTAGGAAATCTTTTCTAGATTGATTTTCTTCAAATATGATTTTACTTGTTTTTCTAGTAAATTTTATTGAATTGCCAGAATTGTTTCATATCGAATTAAAGTTTTGTTGCGTAGGGTTTCTTAATAATACTTTAATACAGATCATTAATATTATCTATATAAATTTCTTAATTAATAAGATTGTCATCTGAATTAGTAATATGAAAAATATAGGCAGAAATATAATGATATAAATAAAGTTAAGACTGAATTTGATATCTATATAGTCATTTATTTGTACATTGAAATTATAATTTTAATAGAAATACAATAATACCATTCAATATTTGACTTTTTCGTAAAAATCCATAATCTTAGCTCGTCTTTCCTTTGCTTCACGCACAACTATATTCAACTGCTCTACTAATTCCATCTTTTAATTATTATCTTAATTCTTATTAAGCTAAATTGGATTTTGCGGCATTATAGGATTTTGGTTTACTATAGTACCCATAACATTTGGGTTTCCTATCAGATTTTGATTTCCTATCATATTTGGGATTCCTATCATATTTTGGTTTTGGTTAGGGAAACCACCCTTGTTTAATGTCTATGGCTGAATAGGATTTTATTAATTTCCAGGATTTTGTTGGAAGGGTGGGGCTGGATTTTGAGTTTATCTGGTTATGGGGATGGGTTGATTAAAAAGGGGATTCATAAGAAAAATTAAAATAAATTAATATTTTTCAATATATAAAATTATATTATTTATATAGTAATTCTATTAAGTTGTCGGGAGGGGTCTTAAAATTAATACATACAAAAATAATTTCATTCTAAATTTGCAAGAAGTGCAATAAATTCTTCTTCTTCTATTAGACCATCTTTATTGTTGTCACATGATGCCAAAATATCTTACCAAGCAGAATTATCAATTTGAATACCTCCAAAGATTTCTTCAATTTCAATTCTTGAAATAGTTCCATTACCATCAAGATCAAATAAACGAAAGGCCTTCTTTAAACTTTCTTTTAAAAATTATTGTTCTTATATTATAGAAGCAGTGAGAAATTCTGTAAAATCAACTCTCCCAGAATGATTTGTATCAATTTTATCCATAATATCTTTAACCATAAGTTATGATTCAATTTTATCCATTTTTACACTAATCATTCCTTAAAGGATTTCCTCTTAACTTAATAAACCATCTCCATTTTTATCTAAAGATTTAAATATTGATAAGAATTTTTATTTTTCTTCTCTTTTAGAAATTTAAACAGTAACAAATTAATTAATAGCTACTTTTAAGTTATTATATCCTTTAAATTTAGTAATTTCTTTAAAGAATTCTTGATCAAATTAAATACTTTTAGGTGATTAATTTGAAATCCATATATGATTCAATGCATCTTTCATAGAAATTCTTTTATGTGGATCTTTTTAAATCATAAGTTTAATTAAATCTATTGCTTCTGGACTTATTTTATTCCAATGTTTACCTTTAATTAATTAATTAATATAAATTACCACTAAAATTTAAATTAGCTTTTTATGCTAATTACAAAGTTTCTAATTAATTTTTACCTCTAAATGGTGCTTTTCCAATTAATAATATATAGAGTATTATTCCACAAGACCAAACATCTACTTTTTCATCATAACCATTAGGTCTTAAAATTTCAGGTGCTAGAAAATAAGGTGTACCAATTTTAGTTGTTAATTTTTTTGATATCATTTTCTCACTTGCACCAAAATCTATTATTTTTAAATTAGAATTAATATCATTGTCATCAAATAAAATGTTTTCAGGCTGATATTAATTTAATTTATACTTTCAAATCTCTATGCACAATTTTTCTATTATGACAATAAACCATAGCAGATAATATTTATTACATATATTATTTTGCAATATCTTCATTATAATTTGTGATTGTTCTTACTCTCTCAATTAATTCACCTCCACATAAACATTCTGTGATAATATAAATATTTTAAACATCATTAAATATTTCGAGTATCTTAACTATGTTAGGATGATCTAAATTCTTTAAAATCTCACTTTCAGATATTAATAATTATTCATCATCAATAACTTATTTTTAAATTACCTTTGCTGCTCTTATTAAATTTGTTTTCAAATGTCTTACCTAATAAACTGAACCAAATCCTCCTTATCCTAATTTTCTTATGATTTCATAATGAACTAAAAACATTTCTCCTTCTTTTTAATTTCTTACCAAAATATCAGGAGAGAGTTATAAATCCTACTGATATTTTATCTTTGGATTTGATGTTTAAGAACTAAATATATTAGGTGTTTGACTATCGCAACTCTCTTGTATAATTTCATAATTTTAGGTATATATTTTTTTTGGTTCAATCAAAGGTGGAGGTTGTATGACTTCATCTTTGATAGCCTATTCAACAATATTCTAATCAATTTAATTATGACTCTAAGCTTTATAAAGTTTAGTATAATCATACCTTATTGGTCAATTTATATCTTATAAATACAATTTCCCATGGCTAATTTGAAATATTTGGGTATATAATTTATTTTTTTTAATTTATCTTACAATACCTTATAATCAACTATTTTTAATTTGTTGTTTATTAATATTATTGTTACATAGTTAGAACATCAACTTTTATTAAGCTTGGAATTTTAAGGAGTCTACAATTTAATAAATTTATTTGATATGTATTAATAACAAAGAACCATAAATAAAATAATTGATTAATTTAAAAACATAATATATTAATTATTCATACTAATATTTTTTATTTTAATTTATCACAATTTCTTAAATAACTTTTCTTTTTTTGCATCTTATTTAGATTATAAAATTCTTTATTTTTTTTATTCAATCTTTTAATAGATATTTGAATTACCAACTTCTTATTATACAGAGTCAGTAATTTATTAAAATGTGTATTTATAAAAGAATAACAAATTATTATAATTTTAATTTATGTTCATAGCCTTACTATATTCTTAATAACAATAATATATTGCTTCTATTGTAGCTAAACATTTCAAGCTATGATGCTAATATCTCCAAAAGTATGTTTAATAATCCTCTAATTTTATGAATTTTTATTGAGGATATTTATTTGAGATTTTCTCTAAAATTGCTCCTGTTTAATGCCATGTACAATCTATTGCTACAAATTTTTTAATGTTTTGAAGCTCTTCCTATGATAATTCTTTTATATATTTAGCATTTTAATGAGGATAGAGAACATAAGTATATTCATCAAATTCGAATTCACTAGGAAAATCCTTAACTTCTACTTAATCACTTAAAAATTTAGCAGGTATAGCTGAACTTTTTTAATGCTTCTCTTTGTTATGATGTAGAATTAATAAATTTACAGGTAATTCAACTTTTGGTATTAGTTCTTTATTCACAAGCAATTCTCCACATTTTAGACAATAAACCTTATGAAGTAAATTACATTTTGGACATCTTACTTTTTCAGCCTAAAGATCGATTTTAGGAAATTAAGAAAAAAATTCATTAGCTCTTTTATATTATTCTTCACTAAAAAGAGATAATCTCATAATCTTACTTGCTTATTTGATCTGAGTCTTTGTAATTTTATCTATCAATATACTTATCACGAATATGCATATAATTAAATTTATTGAATTGATTTGAAATATAAAAATAAATATTCTCAACCCTTTATAATCATTAAATATAAATTAATATAAAAATATAATACTTTTAAAAGTGTATAAAATTTATAAATATCTGATTAAAATCTGTACTAAATTTCATTCAATTACATTTGTATCTGTATTTGCATAAAAACGATTTTAATCATATCTACATAATTGCTACATTCTTAAAACCCATTAATAAAATTTAAATGGTGCTTTATTTTCTATGTATTTCTTAAAGGAATTACTATTATATCTACTCATTATTACACCAAATAACTAAATAATTTTATTTAAATACTTCAAAATCTGCCTCATCTGGTTTTTAGCCACCATGAAATTATTATCCATTTAATCTTTAAATCCATTCATTTAAACCTTATAGGAGTTCTGCTTAAGCTTTGAAATATGCTTCCTTTTATCTGATCATATGGTATATATTTCTTGAACTTTATGTAAATGCCCTATATCCAACTTTTAACATATAATTAATTAGTAAATAATTCTTAGAATCTTTGGCATATGAATCTGGACTTGATTTGAATAGATTTTGCCATGTTAATATTGGATTTAAGAAGATTAAATCTAAGGGTTTTTTAATCTTTTATAATATGCATTCAATTCCTTATTATGCAAAAAGTGTATTAGTCATATGAGTTTGATTCAAGATTAATTCTTTATTAATTAGAAATGAAACTATGTTTTCAGATCCTGTTATAAATTATGTTGAATCTAATGAGACATTTACTTTTAAGACTGGCCATTACCATTATTCAAGAGTAATTATCTTTGCTTTCTTTGCAAAATCTAAAAACAAAATATTATCGACTTTATCAAAACTTATATTGTAATAATTCAAAAGAGAGAAAGCCTTTTAACAAATATGACAATCATGTCTAATTAAATTAACAATATACCTCATATAGAGTACTAAATGAATAACTATATCAGTTTATGGACTTTGCCAAAATATTTATAAATCTCTACTTTACAATTCTTCTTTAGATAATTAACGATTAATTGATCTTCTTTATTCAATGATTCCATCAATTGAACTTTTATTTTGAATCTTTGAGAAACGAAATAGTTACCGCAATTTAATCATTAATTATTTTATAATAGTTATTTGAAATAAAAAAAGAAAAATAATAAGAATATTAGACTTAAATGATTGTTCTGTATATAGATTACAAAATTTATTTCACTTTTAACACTTCAGACAATTAATGGCCTAATTTGTTGGATACATAACCAAATAAATTTCAAGACATTTCATACAATATCTATAACTTGGAACTTAAATTCTAGGAGGATGAGCAACAAATCCATGACATTATGAACAAGGATATGCCTTATTACAACATTAAAAAATAGGTATTGTGTTGCATTTAGTTCTATGTGAACAATCTTCAGTATATAATTTATAAGGGAATGTTTTAAGTAATTTATCTCTTTCACTTTATCTTTCAGAATTCTTTTAACTTTCTTTTTATTTAATAATTTATTCTTATATTTATTTTTATCTTTCTTTTTCTTTTTTAATCTCCTCTTCCTTTTTTCTCTATTCTATTTATTATTGTATTCTAATTTCTTCTTATTTTTTCTCTTCTGCTTTTCTTTCTTCTTCTTTAAACATTTCTAATTATTATTGAAATGGTTAACTCAATTCATTTACTTTCAATTACTTTTATTAGAAAAATTGCATCTTATATTCTGCAAATTCTTTGCTTTATGGATCCATAAACATTACCTTATTATAATCATTAAGTTAATTTGTTATATCTGTTTCTAATTAAATTTTATAATCATTCCAAATATGTTCAACTAATGATATTTTTTAACTTAAATAATTATTTGTCTCTTATTTTATATATTCCAATTCTTTAAAATGTTTACCCTAAATAAATTCTAAACTTTCCTTTAATTCTTCATAAGTCATATCAAAAACTAGTTTTGAACTTAGAATCTCTACTCTATTTATAATCTCTTTTTATAATGGTTTCCATGCCAATTATTCCTATATTGATTACAAAATATTTCTTTCTATTTATTTCAATCTATCTAATATTTAATCTCTTAGCTATTCAAAGAATTGACTTACTTAAGCAGTCTTATCTGGTACTTAAAGTATTGTATCGCTCATATTTTTAAACTAAAATATCAATTTTATATATACTTGTTTCTTTCTATCATCAAATATCTTACAAAAAGTTTAAACTTCCATTATTTATGATGAATGATCATTATGAGATTCTACTAAACAATATGAACATCCTAATCTACTGTCTGCCTTACAATCTCCATATTAACAAATGTAGAGCATCTTATTTTTTTCATGATTCTTTTTTGGACATACTGCCTCCATACTCATTCCAAGAACTTTGATTATAGAACGTTCATGCATGTTTTATAATTACTGTTTTGATATTATTTGTGATGGTCTTTTCTACGAATTTCTAACAGGAGATGTTACTGATTGTGTCACTTTAGAACTACTACAATAACATTTTAGTTTACCTTATTGATGGAGTCTATCCTTATGGACCAGTTGAGCTACGAAAAGATTATTGAGTTTTTAAGAGTTCTTAATTTACTATGCTTTGAGTAAGCAGATCCTCAGGTTTTGGATTTCCATTAGGATTTGTAGGTGATTTATTTGATCTTCTTGCAGATGGCTCTGTTTTTGAATATTTGGCCGATTACTTTTTCATATATATTTTAATTTTTTGATTCAACCCACATTATTACTTATTTCTTCTTATAGTATTGCAGTACTTATTTAAGATTTTTACACTTATAGAAGACACAACAATTCAATAAAACCAAAACAATATCAATTTAACTGTTAAACATAACAATACTCATAAAGAAATAATGTCATATAAATTTTATTAGTATAATAATTTATAACAGAAAAGTATGTAACTAGTACTAATTTTTGATAATTTATATACTGAAATATATAATATATTCTTAAATTGTATAAATAAGTATATATATTATATAAATTTCTGTTCTATTTATAAAATGAAAATAACACCTTCCTTTATTTATTTATATCATCATTGATACTTAATTTTATAGTATTATAGGACTAATATAAAATTAATATTATTTTCTTTTATTTAATTGAAGTCAATTAAAATAATCTAATCTGATAATTTTATATATATATACAATTGTATATAAAAAATCTAGGATTACTTGATTTATTATATATTTATAATTTAATTATTATTAATATGTATATATTGTAAAATTATTCATATTTCAACATAGATTTAAGTACTTTTATTGTCTCTTTTATTAAATAATAATTATTATATTATAGAATCCTAAATAAATATTATGTAAGTAAATAAAATCTAATCTCATTAAATAAATAAAAAATGAAGACATCTCCTCAATCATTTTAAATAGAAAATGAAGAAACTGTATGGCATACTCGTAAATTACGTTAAGAGACTGAGAAAGATATCTTATTAATGAAAAATAGACTCAAATTATTAAAAAGAGGTGATGCATAATTATCTAAGAGAATTGATGAAACTAAGAAGAAAACTAAATCAATGATAGAACTGAAAAAGAATCATCATGCATAAATTGAATAAGTAACTAACCTTATTTATCCAAATCCTTTAGAAAAAACTAAGTCAGAAGAATGATGAAGAAATATTGAAAGATAAATAGAAATTAAATTATAGCCTCAAAAAATAACAAGAAGAATAATTAGAAATGATTAAAAAAGCTATGGAATAAATCAAATTAGAAGAATATAAAAGAATTAAGTATTCTTACAATATATCATCTAATCTAGAGAATTATCAATAAAAAATTCTGAAGCAATTAGTAAATAGAAATAAGAATTTCTTAAAAAAAACAGAGAGAAAAGAGAACATATAAAGGAAATTATGTCCTAATCAAAAACTAATATATCACTTTATTGGAATGAAAAATTATCTCAAATCTAAAAGGAAAACGAAAAGTATTTATTAATAACAATCATCTTAGAGCAAAATTAGAAAATAAGAGAGCTTGCTAATACAATAAGGTATAATAAGAAAAAATGGAAATGGAAGAATCATATATGATGCAAAAATTAATGAGATCATAAGAAGTTTAGAAAAAATTAATAACAAGATTAGAAAAAGCTAAAAACTTGCCTCATGACGAATTTAATCATTTAATTAAAGAAGAAGAAGAACATTCACATCATCATAAAACTAATAAAAGTGTCGAAATACCTCGTTGGTTACCTACTCCAGAAAAAGATATTGTAGTTTCTCAAAAATTAGATACAGAACCTTAATAAGATTAAGATTAATAAAAAAAGAATGATAATCCTGATGAATAGTAAGATTGATATATTAATAATAATAAATTAAAATTTATAAGAATTATTTATTAAACATAAATAATAAAAATAAATTACTTATCTTATTTTATCATATTTATTAACAATAATACATTCATATTTATAAATTCATACTTAAATATATTATATTAATGTTTGNATAATTTAATTATTATTAATATGTATATATTGTAAAATTATTCATATTTCAACATAGATTTAAGTACTTTTATTGTCTCTTTTATTAAATAATAATTATTATATTATAGAATCCTAAATAAATATTATGTAAGTAAATAAAATCTAATCTCATTAAATAAATAAAAAATGAAGACATCTCCTCAATCATTTTAAATAGAAAATGAAGAAACTGTATGGCATACTCGTAAATTACGTTAAGAGACTGAGAAAGATATCTTATTAATGAAAAATAGACTCAAATTATTAAAAAGAGGTGATGCATAATTATCTAAGAGAATTGATGAAACTAAGAAGAAAACTAAATCAATGATAGAACTGAAAAAGAATCATCATGCATAAATTGAATAAGTAACTAACCTTATTTATCCAAATCCTTTAGAAAAAACTAAGTCAGAAGAATGATGAAGAAATAT